GGTTCCCTGGAGGGGGAAGGCCTCAAGGCCCCCAAGGGCCGCGTCTCGCGTAGATGGGAAGTCCTGGGGCAAGATTAGCTCGCGGCTCCAGGACAGCATGAGGACGACCCTCCTTGGCCTCGCCTCGTCCTGGGAAATGGAGGTGCAGGAACGATGCACCCTCTTGACGAGATCGGTTTCAAATGCTTGCCGAAGTGAAGCCGGGCAGGACAGTGGACCGCGGGCACGCTCGGGAGGGAGGCACCCCTTCCGTGCCACACGGCGAAACGCCGCCCAGCACAACGAGAAGGATCCTAGCGGAGTAATGCCTGCACGCCGCACGGCGACACACCCTCGCTTTTCTTTTTTTGTTGCCAAGCCCGAAGCTACGGCAACATCACGCTCTGGGGCAGGAGCTGCTGGTCAGTGGCAGCTGAGGCCGCGGTCGCATTGGGGACAGGTTGCTCCACGTCAGAGGCATGACTGCGCAAGCAAGAAGCATGGGCCTGCCGCGGGCGCCCATTGAAAAATATTTGAAACAGTACCCTGGCGACGTACCCAACCCATGCGCAATGTGGGGCAGGAGTAGCTGGGGAGATTTGACGAGAAGGCGGCGACGTGACATGGACGCATGCACTTCTGCGAGCGGCATTCGGAAGGTTCGCAGGTCCCCAATCAAGGGAAAAACCATGAGTAAATCATTGAACCCCGGAGTCACTAAAGAAGACGCAAGGTTCAAAAGGAGACGGTGGGCAAGGGCCTTGAAACGTCGGCGGGGCAACAACAGCATGGCATGGCCCCCCAAGGGACGGGGAGGTCTCGCTCAGATCCGCGCGGTGCCTCACTCCGCTGGGACCACCAGCAGCCTTCGAAAGTGGCGGGCCCACCAGCAGCCTTCGAACGTGGCGACAGATTCGCAGATCGCAGCCCCCCAGGGACTGGGAGGTCTCGCTCAGATCCGCGCGGTGCCTCACCCCGCTGGACCCACCAGCAGCCCTCGATAGTGGCGACAGTTTTGCAGATCCCAGGGACGGTGACGTATCGCGGTGCCTGACCCCGCTGGACCCACCAGCAGCCCTCGATAGTGGCGACGGTTTAACAGATCGCAACCCACCCAGGGACGGGGAGGTCTCGCTCAGATCCGCGCGGTGCCTCACTCCGCTGGGGCCACCAGGCGCCCTCGAAAGTGGCGACGGTTTCGCAGATCGCAGCCCCCCCCCAGAGACGGGGAGGTCCCGCTCAGATCCGCGCGGTGCCTCACTCCGCTGGACCCACCAGCAGCCCCGAGAGTGGCGACGGTTTCGCAGATCGCAGCTCCCCAGGGACGTGGAGGTCTCGCTCAGATCCGCGCGGTGCCTCACTCCGCTGGACCCACCAGCAGCCCTCGAAAGTGGCGACAGATTCGCAGATCGCAGCCCCCCCAGGACAGGGAGGTCTCGCTCAGATCCGCGCGGTGCCTCACTCCGCTGGACCCACCAGCGGCCCTCGATAGTGGCGACAGTTTTGCAGATCCCAGGGACGGTGAGGTCTCGCGGTGCCTCACCCCGCTGGACCCACCAGCAGCCCTTGAAAGTGGCAACGGTTTAACAAATCGCAACCCACCCAGTGACGGGGAGGTCTCGCTCAGATCCGCGCGGTGCCTCACTCCGCTGGACCCACCAGCGGCCCTCGAAAGTGGCGACGGGTTCGCAGATCGCAGGCCCCCAGGGTCGGGGAGGTCTCGCGGTGCCTCACCCCGCTGGACCCACCAGCAGCCCTTGAAAGTGGCAACGGTTTAACAAATCGCAACCCACCCAGTGACGGGGAGGTCTCGCTCAGATCCGCGCGGTGCCTCACTCCGCTGGACCCACCAGCGGCCCTCGAAAGTGGCGACTGTTTCGCAGATCGCAGCCCCCAAGGCAAGGCAAGAGGAGACAAGAAGGAGGGGGGCGGGAGGCGGGAGGCAGCAGGCGGGAGGCGGGAGGAGAAGAAGGACGCGACCGCGGTGCTCTATTCAAAACGAATGCTCAACCATGGAGGGTTAGGAATTATCCTGGCGAAAGACCGAACCATACGCAGCTGTGAGTACCGCGTTGTGGGTACCGCTCTCGGTGAAGCTCCCGATGGGGCCACGATTCTCGTGAGGGGTGTGCCGCAGTAGGCGGGGGGACGCATGCAAACCCTGCCGCTGGGGCCTTCGGAGGAGCGCCCCATGAGGCCGCGGTCTTCGTAAGGGATGTGCCGAAATGGGCGGGGGGGCGCATGCAAAACCTGCAGATGGGGCCATCGGTGGAGCTCCCTATGGGGTCACGATCCTCGTGAGGGGTGTGCAGACATCAGCGGGGGGACGCATGCAAACCCTGCCGCTAGGGCCTTTGGTGATACTACCTTTGGGGCCACGATGCTCGGGAGGGATGTGCCGAATTGGGCGGGGGGGGGCGCATGCAAACCCTGCCGCTGGGGCCTTCGGTGGAGCTCCCCACGGGGCCGCGATCCTCGTGAGGGGTGTGCGGAAATGGGCGGGGGGACGCATGCAAACCCTGCCGCTGGGGCCTTCGGTGGAGCCCAGTATGGGGCCACGATCCGCGTGAGGGGTGCGCCGAAATGGGCGGGGGGGCGCATGCAAACCCTGCCACTGGGGCCTTCGGTGGAGCTCCCTATGGGGCCACGATCCTCGTGATGCGTGCCGAAATGGGCGGGGGGACGCATGCAAAACCTGCAGCTGGGGCCATCGGTGGAGCTCCCTATGGGGTCGCGATCCTCGTGAGGGGTGCGCAGACATCAGCGGGGGGACGCATGCAAACCCTGCCGCTGGGGCCTTTGGTGGCACTACCTTTGGGGCCACGATGCTCGGGAGGGATGTGCCGAAATGGGCGGGGGGGCGCATGCAAACCCTGCCGCTGGGGCCTTCGGTGGAGCTCCCCACGGGGCCACGATCCTCGTGAGGGGTGTGCGGAAATGGGCGGGGGGACGCATGCAAACCCTGCCGCTGGGGTCTTCGGTGGAGCTCCCTATGGGGCGACGATCCTCGTGAGGGGTGTGCCGAAATGGGCGGGGGGGCGCATGCAAACCCTGCCACTGGGGCCTTCGGTGGAGCTCCCTATGGGGCCACGATCCTCGTGATGTGTGCCGAAATGGGCGGGGGGGCGCATGCAAAACCTGCAGCTGGGGCCATCGGTGGAGCCCCCTACGGGGTCACGATCCTCGCGAGGGGTGCGCAGACATCAGCGGGGGGGCGCGTGCAAACCCTGCCGCTGGGGCCTTTGGCGACACTGCCTTTGGGGCCACGATGCTCGGGAGGGATGTGCCGAAATGGGCGGGGGGGCGCATGCAAACCCTGCCGCTGGGGCCTTCGGTGGAGCTCCCCACGGGGCCGCGATCCTCGTGAGGGGTGTGCGGAAATGGGCGGGGGGGCGCGTGCAAACCCTGCCGCTGGGGCCTCCGGTGGAGCTCCCTATGGGGCCACGATCCTCGTAAGGTCTGTGCCGAAATGGGCGGGGGGCGCATGCAAACCCTGCCACTGGGGCCTTCGGTGGAGCTCCCTATGGGGCCACGATCCTCGTGATGCGTGCCGAAATGGGCGGGGGGGCGCATGCAAAACCTGCAGCTGGGGTTGAAAACCACTGGTGGCATATGCTAGTAATATTGATTTACTGAGCAGATATACAGTTGACATTCTGGTGGAAAAACGGAACGCCTCACGTCTTAGGGACATTGATGTGTTCGTACGAAGGTGGCAACGATGTCGCTCATGAGCGGTTGCACGCGCAGCGCGGAACGCAACCAATCCGGCAATGCAGACACCACAGGCGCGGTGGCAGGTGAAGGCGGGGGGAACAGGCGGACGCAGAGGAGGGGGGGCGGTTGGCGCGGAAGGGAGAGGGGGGGGGTGCCAGAGGGGGGGAGGGGGGAAGCGGAGTAAGCGGAGGAGTGAGGGTAGGAAGGGAGGGAGAGGGTTGCGGGGGGGCGAGGTGGGGAAGGGGAGGTTCGAGGAGCGAGGGGGGAGGGGGAGGGTCGGCGCGAGCGTGGGAGGATGGGCGAGGAACAGGAGGTAGGAGGGAGGAGGAGGAGGGTCGGGGGGTCTGCGCGGTCAAGAAGCCCCTGCCCTGCCCCAAGAGCGGCGGGGGAGAAGGCAGGCAGGCCGCGGCCTTCTTCGTGAAGATGCCCCCGAAATAAGAGGAAGGAGGGGGGGAGGGCGACGGCGAGCGCGACGGCGACAAAGACGGCGAGAATGAGGAGCACGATGCCGACGACGATGCGAGAGACGACGATCAATCACCACGAGCACGATGAGGAGAACGCGACGACGATGACTAAGGCGACGATGGGGATCACGACGATGACGCGGAGTGCGAGGACAACGGCGACGATGACGACAGTGCTGACGATGAGGAAGAAGACGCAGAAGAGGACAAGTAAGGGAGATGAGGAGGGCGACGACGAGGTCGATGAGGAGGAGGGAGGAGGAGAACGCTCACTCCTGCACAGAAGCGGACCCTCCCCCACGGGCGCTTCTCGTCTCTCTCTCGCAGCTTGCTCGAGCACGACGCTCGAGCACGTCAGCAGCGGCTCGCCTCCTCGACCGTCTCGCCCTTATCATATCCTATCCCCATGTATTCCCATCCTCGTCCGCCTCCCCGGTCCTGCCCCCCTCACCTTCATTCCCCCGAGATTCCTACGCTTTCCAACTTAGCATCGTCACTGCTCATCTGCCCCATTGCTGAATCCTCCTCACTCGTCGTCCTCCTTCTCATCATCCCACTGTTCATCCATCCTCATCTCCTTGGCCTTGTCGTGCCCAGTCTCCCTTCATCTTCATTTCCCATCGTCATCGCCACCATTCATCATTTGTGGTCACTCCCACGGCTTGTACGCAACCGTCGTCATCGTCATCCTCCTCCTCATTCCCCCTACTCCACCCATCACCCCTGTCCCTCCTGCTACTCCTTCCCGTCCCTCCACCCTCATCCCTCCTGCACCATTCTCTCATCCCTTCTCCTCCTCTTCTGACTCCGCTCGCATGCCAGCTTGGCAGCTGGCGCTCAGTCGGCGACGACCGCCTGGTTGAATGCCGTCTTGGCCCGCCTCTTCCTGTTCTGGCGGCTCGTTGCCGCGGTCGCTGCCGACGAGGTCGCCACGGAGATGGCGTCGCAATCCTTGAACTTCGACTCCGTAGCTTTGTTGATGGGGTCCCCGAGCAGCGACCTCTTGAGCTCCTCAAGCTTCTCGCGGAGCTTCGAGGGGAGCTCGCCGTGCGAAACTCCTAAGCACGACTGCGTCCACTTGACGGTCTGGTCGTAGTCCGACACGGCGGCCTTGCTGCCGCCGACCACGAGCAAGTGAGCCAGAGCAATGCACGCCGCTAGCTTCGCGGCCTGCCCCAGCGTCTCCTTCGCCGTCGGCAAGGCGGCCTGAAGCTGGATCATAGCCTGGCTCTTGGCGCTCTCCTGCCACTTGATGTTGCCGCACACGTTTTCGACGACCTTGGACGTCGTCGGGAACTGGGCCACTGCAGTCGCGATCTGACTCCCCGTGTTTCGATCCTTGGTGCCGGAAGGCTTTGTCAACCAGCCGACCTCCTGGAAATCCCACTTGTCGATCGCATCGTACAGCGCCCCGTACTTCTCCACGAAGTCCAGCTTGAGCGACGAGATGAAGTCCATGGCAGCCTTCGTTTGCTTGAACAAGGTGTCCCACTCCGCCTCCGCGTGCTTCAAGACACGCTCCACGAGTGCGCTGTCGTCACATGCCTCTTTGAAGTCAGCCTTCGCCGTCGCGATGTCGGAGAGCAGCGAGTTGAGCCCGACGAGGCCGCTTGAGCGACCAGCTCGTTGACGCTCATCTGCGTCTGCCACTCGCACCAGCGTCTTGGCAAACGTCAAGGCCTCGAGAGAACTCTTGGGGAGCACGTTGGTCTTCGTGTCCAGTATGCCGATCAGCGTCTTCTGCTCATCAGGCGGGAGCGCCAACACCCTGTGTAGCAGCACGCTCCGAAAGCGATCGTCCATGTACAGAAACCCAATGTTGCGCAGGATCAGCAGTGCAGATGGTGCAGTTGGGCAGGTGGTCGGCAACGGTCTCGATCTCAAAGCCAATTTCATCTTGTGCTCAGCTTGCAAGGCCATCGTCCAAACCTCAACCACCTCCTTGCAGTCGGTCTTGCCCTCGCTCTCCCTCGCGTCGTAGAGCTTGGCGGCGACCTCGAAGCGGTGCATGAGGTGGTACACCACGTTCGCGTCCCCCTCGTTCAAGTCAAAGTGCTGCATGGTCTTGAAAGCGGTGTGGAACACCCTCAACATCTCGTACTGGTCAGGCTCTTCTTCATCGGGGTTCACTTGCCTGTCCGTCAGAGGCGGCGTATACCCAGATCCCTCATAGATGCCAGTGAACAAATCGTTGAACGACATGGTAAGGTCGACCGCCACGTTGAACAGCTGCAGCGTTCCATCGCAGAACGTGTTGCAGACCTCGAGAATATCTCCCTTTGCTGGTGAATCAGAATCTTCAGCGACGCCTCTTTGGCTGAAGAAGTCGCCGAAATTGCATGCCTCGCTGGGCAGTTCGCATACCGCGATCAGTGCCTCGTACGCTTTCTCGGGCCCGCCCACTCGCACCTGATGCGCAAGCTCCCTGGCTCTCTTCACGAACTCGTTCTGGGATGTGTCCTCCTGGTGCTTGGCAGCGGCATCGGTCATCCTGCACATCTCTTCCCATGCTTTCTTGCCATGGGTGGCATGGGAACCCGCCCGGGACTTGAAATTAACCTTCATCCTGGCCGAGACTTTCGCCACGCTGGACACCAACTTCACGATCGAGTGGCGAAGCTGGGCTGGGAACACGGGTCCGTGAGCGCCCGCCGCCCTCATGTGGTCGAGAACTTGGGCGACGATCGACATGGCACCCAGGTCCATGGCTGCCTGCGGGGCCAAGCCGTTCACGAAGTCCGCGGAGCCCATGTCCATGCCGAAGATGGAATCGGCCAGCTTCGGGAATACAGTCACGATCTTCTGGCTGATAAGGCCGATCGCGGACTCGTCGGTAATCTTGAAAACGACGTTCCCCAGGGCCAATACGAGTGACGTTTGGAGCTTGGCAGCCTGAGCCTTCGCCCTATCAGCATCGCCGCACTCCAATAAGGTGGACAATGACAGCGTATTCGAACTCTCGACGGTGAGCGCCGACAGGAGTGCGCCGACGTACTCGGGATTGGTCGGGACTTTGTCGATGAGAGCGTTGAGGTTCAGGGCGAGGATGGTGGACACGAGCTCCATCGGCGCACCCTTGATCATCTCCGAGTGTTCCTGTGAGAGTGGCGCCGAGGCGAAAGCGTAAAACTCGCGAGGCTTGCCGCCGATCTTGTCGAGCAAACCCTGTCTGGCTTCCAATGCGTCCGCCATGGCGAAGATCCTGGCGCTGATGTCCAACGCAGCTTGGCTGCCTGCCATGCCCCCTGTAGCCTTGCCAGCACGCTGCAGGCGCGCGATGAACGCCTGGAACTCCTTCTCGCGGTTCCTGAGCCCCCAGTGCCCCCCCCAATGGTACTTCTTCTCCGCGTCCTCCAAGGTAGCCTCGGCCCTGTCGATCGCAGCCAAGGCCCCGTCCTCCGTGTCTTCTTCATTTGAGATGATGCGTTCTCCACCGCTTCGAGAGGCACCTTCTTCTTCAGGGAGGGAGCTGGCGTCGCAGGTGGAACGCTAGTGACCGCCGACCTCGCCGAGGTGGCCTGTGATCTGACAGACTTGTCGTCGGCGAGGGTCTCATCGGCCTCACGACCTGGGTCGACGAGGCTGGCACCTTGGGGAGCGCTGACAAGGCGGCCAGTTGCGGGCCGATGGCCGCCAGCAAGCTCAGAGCCTTGGCTTTGAGTAGAGCTGACCCGTCGGCGGCCGAGCCCCCCCTTCGACACGACGATATCCTGCCTCTCCCTAGCCGACTGCCCATCATCGCGGCCCTCGGTCTTGACTTTCGTGCTCGCTCTCTCCCTGCCACGCTTGAACCTGCATGCCCCGAACTCCACCCCAGACACGTCGGATACCTCGATGCCAAGAACGCCACAATCGTCCTCCACGACCTCTGTCCCGCGCGCCTCGATCTGCTGGATGAGGTTTTCCTGCGACTCCCACTTGAGGTTCCAGATCCTCGGGGAGGCGCAAGCTACCCTCCCCCCATCCATCCTCGCCTCCATCCTCCACCACCCTCTTCGTCCCCATCGCCACTCATCCTCACTCGCCACATTTGATAAGGGGAACGAGTCCTGCCGACGTACTGGATCGGCTGGAAGATGCCAGAGTCGAAGTCCTGGTTGAACTTCATATCCGACTTCTGCGTGTTGATGGTCAGCCCGTCGGTCCTGGCGTGCTTGCCAGTGCCATCTACCAAACCCTTGCGGCAGTTCACGATCTTCTCATCGATGGCAGGATCATTCTTTCGAGTCGCACGGGCATCTGCGAGGGTAACTCTGGTTCCGAGGATCTTCCTCTGAGCCCCGTAACACCCGTAGCACTGGTCGCCCGTCAAAACTTCGCCTTTGGAGGTGTGGTTCCTCTTGTGCCACTTCAGCCATGTCACCTGGCCTTTGGGGCCATCTCGATCCTCGCTGTGTGTCCACTGGCCGCAGTCCTCGCAGAACCTGTTGTCGAAGTCCAGCAGCGGGTTCCTGTCAGCGTCCGACGAGCCCTTGGAGCTCTTGCCCTTCTTGGCCGCGCCCGACTTCTTGGGCGGCATCTCTGCGCTGTGCCGTGCACAGGTTCCCCAATCAAAGCCAAGGCCTCGAAACCGAATCGGGAGGCCTTGAGCCACAAGGGCTAGGAAGGGGCGGAAAGGGAGGAGGAGGTTGACGGTGGAAAGAAACGTTTACTGACTAAGTTTAGCGTCCAAGTTCCGTGCAAACGTTCGTGCCCAGGTTTCGTGCCCCGACCTCCTCTTGCCCCCTCCCCCCGGCCTGCTTCGGGGGTCACCGTTGGGGGCCGACGTGGGCTCTGCACCTCTGCTTTTGAAGTTAGGCACGCGCGAGGGGGGGGCGGGCGCTACTGCCGTTTTTGTGCACGGGTCCTGGCTGGAGCATCGCAGCCCCAAGCTTTGCCCCCTGGACTTCTGGAGGGGAGACGGAGGAGGGTGGGCGGAGGGCTCGGGAACAACATGTTGGGCAACATTTGGGGCCCGAAGCACAGGGCCAGGAGGGAGGTGAGGAGGAGGAGTAGGGATAAGGGTGGATGAAGAGGAGCGCCACATCCAGCCGTGTCAGCTCCTGCGGACAACACGATCAATCGGATGAACCCTCCTCCTCCTCCTACTCCTCCTCCTCCGAACGGGCGAAGGCGACGAAATGAAACCGAATGTATGACGACGCGAAGGTCCTTAGCATCGTTGAGCGAAGACGAGATGACATGAAACGAACATTCTCGATATCTGCCTATGCCCACCACGTCGACGCACTGCTGCCCTAAAAGTGCATTGGCCCCCCTGGGACATGGCCCATCTGTGGCTCCCTAGCTCTGCTCGTCCTGGGTGTGCACTGCTGCAGTATGATGTGCCTGTCACCTCTCTGACCTCCTCCTCCTCTCCATCTCTGTTCCTCCTCCCTCATCCTCCTCCTTCGACATTCAAGAGCACCGCTGGGCTCTTCCTCCGAGCTATTATTTTGTAGTTTTGTTATGTTGTTTCACGACAGTATGTTGGCGAGCAACGCTTCCAGTGCACAGTGACGACGCTGCCGCAGTCGCGCCTCGCGAGGGCACTGAGCCGCCTCGGCAACAGGCATGCTCGAATCGGCAGCTCAGCTGCAGCGCACGGCCCCCCCCCCCCCCCATGCCGAAACCAACCCTAAGAACAGATACGAACAATTAAGAACAAACGTTGTTCTTAGGGATAGGACCTAAGAACAAGTAAGAACAATTGGTTGTTCTTAGCCCATGGGGGCTGAAGTGCGTGAGGGGTCGCAAAAAAATGAAGGCGGGGGGGTGTAATAACAAACTCAGTTCTTAACTGTTCTTAAACCGTTCTTAAACGTAATCTGATCCAGGGGGCTGTTCTTAGGTAGTCGGGCGTGAGCTCCCCAGAATTTCAATCGAAAGTGGCATGCCGTTTCCAATCGGCGCGACGATCGTCGGGGCGAGGGCCGCGTGACTTTCCATCGGCTGCGGCGGGGGCCAAAAGTACAAGGTCTGATTAAATTATGATATGTCCTCGGCTGCCTTGCGAAGACTCGGCAAGGCCTCAGCGTCAGCAGAGGCAATTAGCTCGTCGAGCTTTTGCCGATCGTGAGCTCTGTTGCCAGCCGAACAATCCTTCAAACGCCCAACGTGGACATAGCGCTCAGCACTTATCTTCGAGCCGGCCTTGAACCGATACTTAAATCTGAAAATGCCCCCTGTCGATCTTTGAATCGCACAAGGGGCAAACCAACCGAGCTGAGGGGGACATGTGGCAGTCGACAAGCCCTAGCACATCTTGATAATGTGGAGCTGGAGGGTCTGGCGGCGGAGGAAGTGGAGGCTCGTCTGGATCATCCTCGCGGGAGGGTGGATGGGGGAAAGGGGCAGACAGGAGGTCGGGGAGGTAAGAGGATGTGGGGATGGGAGAGAAGGAGTAAGCAGGAGAGGGAAGCGGGGGGGGCGGGGAGGGCGATGGGGGGAAGAACGAGGGCGATCCAACCTGATTTGAGAACCCATGGAGTCCTTGTCCAAATCTGAAATCCCTGGAGATGCATCCGATGCACTATCGCCATCTGGCCCCTCCTCCGCCCTCTCCTTCAACGCCTGCTCCTCGTCCGATGCGTCACTGCTGCTGCCCCCCTTGTCGATGTCATTGGTTTGCTTGTCTATCGGCACCTTTTTCAAAACCGACGCCTTGACCCCGATGTTGAAAAACGGCACTTTCCACGGACCCGTCGTTGGCTTTTCTTTCGGGCGCTTCATTGCGTTGTTCAGAGGGACGTGCTGATCAAAATTAGGTTCTAAAGTTGTGATGTATTCATTCAGGTCGCTCCTACCTACATGTTTGTGGGAGTGCACTGCGACCGATTGGACTGCCCCAGGGTCGACGCCAGCGGCGCCACCAACATCGACCAAGAATTTTCGCACTGCGCCGAATCCGAGGAGAGCTCGAAACGGAGTTTCGATCCCCAACACCTCTGAGCCATTGTAAATTCCGATGTTGGCGGGAATCAATCACGAACTCACCTCTGTTGTGAACCCTCGTCAGATAGAAATATCTCGGAGGAACACCATCTGCTCTCAAGCTGATGACATATGGAAACACTAGCACATCCTTCTTCCCAACTTTTTTGTTTTCAGGCGGGGTTGATTCGCCTTCGTGACTGCATACAGGTTTTTACTGAAATCAACGGTAGCTTGCAACAGAGGGCCCTTGCAACACACGCCACCGTATCGAACTGAACATGGCTGAAAGCAGCGGGGCACAACGGCTGGGTTGGGCGTGGCGGCCTGGTCGGTCTCCGCAGCGCTGTTCGCGCTCGCGGCCATCGCCGAGTGCGAGCCGTCCAGGATCTTCTCGCTCCTCAGGCCCGCGTCGAAGGAGTGCAGCTGCGAAGCACCTCCCCTCACCAATTCAGCGTCATCCTCCTCCTCCTCCTCCTCCTCCCCTTCCTCCTCCTCCTACCCTCCTCGCGGGGGTCACCTCCTCCCCCTCCCCCACCACCCCCACGCCCGTGCGCCAGAACACGGGGGCACTCTGGCGCGAGTGGCGTTGGGGGGTCTGAGGAGGAGGGGGCATGCACCTAAGAACGTAGTCCTTGCCAGCAGCCTTCGCCAACATGGAGATGTGTGTTGAAGGAGGTAGATCTACGACCGTCTCCTCCTCCTCCTCTTCCTCCTCTTCCTACCCTTGCTGCTGCTGCCCCCCCTCCACCCCTTCTCTTCCTCCTCCCTGGATGGGGCGCGCAGGCCAATCGGGGCTGAGAGGGGCGGCCGCCTCTCTTAACCACCCATGAGAGGGGGGACAGCTTCTTCAGAACGTTATGGGGCGCGCTAGCCCACGGACTCACCGCGACAATTGCCCTCTACACACCATAACTAGACATGGTTGCCCCGAGCTAGAGCTCGCCGCCGTGACGCGCGGGCTACCGACCTAGAACGGCGATTCCGTTAGCGTTTCTGCACGCACGGAACAATCCCGAAACTCGCCAGATTAGGTCAGACCAGCTTGATACACCATTGCTAATACATACATGCTCACACTGAAGGCGCGACGATGCATGACAGGGGTACGGATCGGGGGCGGGAGGAGAGAGGGCACGGAACAACGAGCGCCATGGCCTTGACGCGGAGGGCGAAGGTGAGGACGAGGAGGAGGCGGGGGGTGACGAGGCGAGGGAAAGGCGAACAACACAATTGCACCCCACCCTGCATTCCCCGCGCACCAGCCCAAGCATCGTGCCCAACGAGTTCTGCAAGCTTCCGTCGAACAGCTCGCATGCGATCAGTACGTTGCCGTTGTCGCCCTCCAGGTAGTTGTTCACCAGCCCCGTCGCCTCGAGCAATGTCTCTGGCATCAGCTCGTGCCTGGTACTCTGCCTTATCGTGATTTGATAGCGCCCTCCAGTCTCCCAAAACTCTTGCACGTCTCTCAGCAAACGACATCGTTGCAGGCAAAATGCCAAACAGTTCCGACGTGAATATGTCAAAGGCGCGGGTGCGTCTGCTCGGCGCCCTAGCCGCTGCCCCTGGGTCTAGCGATGCCACTGTGTCGGGCCGTCGCTTCCTGGCAGTCGTCATCGAAAAGCTCTGGAGATGTCTGAAGAACGCCTTTCTGGCACATGCATTGCCAAATGCATCGTCCATCACCCGTCGCTGCAATGCCGCGTGTGAGATCCTGATTGACTTGCAAAGGGCGTGCTTGGCCAACTGACGTTTCGAAAAGGCTCTGCCTCGCTTTCCCTTTGCTGGTCTGAACTGCTGTCCAATGATATGCTTGCGCTCTACCTTCGTCGCCCCCACTGGCAGGATGCTCAGTATGTCTTTTAAGTCGGAGTGGGCTCGCTTGGCTTCTTCGAGTGGGCCTTCAAATCTCGATAACCATATTTTTGCAAAGTGGGGGTCCAAACACTGATCGCAATCATAGGCATCTTCTAACTTCCTCATTTCTTTTGCCACCTCATTGATAAGCCCAGCATCAAAGCCCCAAGACTTACATATTCCGAAGATCTTGAATGTCGGGTCAAACGTTGGGAGCATGAGCCTGTAGTAGCAATCACCAGCTGCGCAGAGCATCGCATCGCACACTTGATTGAAGTTCCCGATGTTGTCCAACATGTCAACCTCAGCCCACAGAGGGTCTTCCAGATCAAGCAATAACTTCCCAAACGATGAAATTACCCTTTCCGCCCGCCCACCGTCGAGCACTTCGAGGTTCAACGCTGAAGACTGTTGCTGGCCGGCCGACAACTCGAGAAGGCGATCGGTGGGCACGCCTGCGCCGTCCCTCGGAATGGTCTTCGCGAGTTCGATCACGTGGTTGACTGCTTTTTCTGCTTTGAAAGAATGGTTCAGGAAGGATTGGATCGGGCGCGAAATCACCTATGCGACCTCGAACTGGCTGCGAACATCTGGCAAGCTGAAGAACTCGAGAATCTTTTTATTTTTCACGCCAGGGAAGCCACCGCCACGATCGTCACCATCATCATCAGCCTGATCATCATGCTTTCCGAAAGCTCGTCTGAACGATCGAGGGAGCAGTCCGTGTTGAGCAACCCCTCGAAACGCCCATGCTGATGCTTCGTCGAAACCCTTCCACCTGTATTTCAATGGCTCGCCGATCCTAGAACCGAGGCCGATCAATATGCGTTCGGTGACCTTCCTCAAAGATGCCGCCTCGTCCCCATTGCAACCCAGCGGGCAGGCTCCGTCGCCGATGACGCAGTAATGGTAAATTTTCTCGTCGCCCCAGTTTCCATTGTCAGCTTCAACAATCGCTTGTATACGCTTGTCATCGATGTCCCGAGCAGGCAGCGTTCTGCGCAGCAGCGATCGAGACGTCTCCTGCCATTGCTGCATCTGCGGCGTGATCTCGAACACTTGTCGGTAGCAGAACTCCGTTCGAATCTCTCGCTGAAGCGCGTCCAAATACAACTCCACGCTTCGACCTCCCATCAACTCGTGAACAAGCGCGCGCAGCGCCGATGGCAAGTCGTATTTCAGCGAATCGAATATAGGCTTCTGGCAAAGAACAGCTGAGTGGCACATGCACGCGATGTGTATCTGGCTCGTTTTTCGCGACCTGGCCCTAGGCGATCATTGTGTGATTCAAGTTCTGCCTCTTCCATTCCAATGATATTTCTGTTGACGATGTGTCCATCTTTGACAAGAACTCTAACTTTCCTGAATGATTCCATCTGCCGTCTCAGGTCGCCGTCTCCATCAACTTTGGAACCAGTGCCAGTCGACGTCACGGCCGACCAGCGTTGCCAATGTGATCTGACTGATGCGCTGTTCGCCTTCGGCAACGGTTGAAGAGGAGAGAATACTTCTGATGCGAACAAGGCGCCTTGTGCGGGGACTCCCCCAGGGCTCACACATGAAGGGGCGGCACGTCTGGCGAAGAGGCATTCGCAAACGTTTAAGACAGGCTCATGTTTATTCTTGCCCCTGCACTGTAGTTTTTTTTGTCGACTGCTTTATGGCCTGTTGAACCCATTTGAGAACCATCTTTCATCCACATCGAGGCATCATCAAATATATTCGTACTAATCACCAACCTGTGTGCCGCTCCCTCGTCGTCTGGCCTCGTGAACTCAGCCAGACCCTTACTCTGATGGTGTATTGCCGAAGCCACTCCTCGATCCAGGCCGCGTCGACTTGAAATGGGATCTTTTCCAACACTTTCGATATGCACGGGAGCGTCACCGAGGTCGCCAATCAAGAATCCCCCCCCGATGCGGCTGCCAGCGCCGAAGATCAGCGACGCGACCTCAGTGTTTTGTTGCACGGCCAAACTCCTAGCCAAGCGAGCCTCTTTTTGTCTCTTGCGTTGGACCACTGCTCGTCCTATACGCAATCTGTGCTCTGGGCCAACTGCGAAACCTCTCTGGCGTCCTCGGCGACGGCGATGTCCTGAGGGGGGGGGGGCGCAGTTGTTTCATTCAAGGGGCAAGGCAGGGAAGGTGAAAATGAATGCGGGGGCAGGGGGGTGCAAATGAATGCCCAAACGACGACGAGCGATGAAGGCTTCGAGGGGGAGGGGGGGGCAGGCGCGAGACGGAGGAGGGTGGACGGAGGGTTCGGGGGCAACACTTTGGGCCACATTTGGGCCCCGAAGCGCGTGGGCAAGAGGAAGAGGAGGAGGGGGGGGGATAAAGGTGGACGAGGAGGAGCACCACATCCAGCCGTGTCAGCCCCTGCGTACAAGAACATCGGATAAAGCCCCATCCTCTTTCTCCTCTTCCGCCCTCTCCCCCTCTTCTCGTCTTCCTCGTTCCCTGTCCTCCTCCCCCTCATCCCCCATCCTCCTCCTCCTGCCCTCCCTCCCCTCCCCATCCCTCCTCCTTCTCCCCCTTTCCCTTCGCCTCGTTTTCCCAATCCTCCTGCTCGTGTTTCGCCTAACCCACCTCCTCCTCCTCGCCATTCTCTACCCTTTCCTCTGGGACCCTCCTCTCCCGCCTCCCCTCCCCGTCGTCCTCTCCGATTCCCGCCCCCCCCTCCTTTCCTCCTCCTCCTCCTCCTCCTTCCCCTCCCCCTCCTCCTCGTCCTCCTCCTCCTCCTCCTCTGGCCCCCGCGGTCCTTGCACAGGTGGTGCTGCTGGTTGCACTGGTGGTGCTGCTGGTTGCGCTGGTGCTGCTGGTTGCACTGGTGCTGCTGGTGCTTCTTCCTCCAGCTGGAAGAAGCCCTGGTACATAGGCTGGGCCAAAATGGCTGCGGTGCTTCATCCTCTCTCTCTCTCTCTCTTCTCTCCGCTCTTCTGTTCCCTCCTCATCTTCTGTCTTCCCACTCCCTCCTCCTCGTGGACCCCGCTCCGTTCTCTCCGCCTCTCACCTCCTCCTCCATCCATGCCCCCCTTCCTCCCTCCCCTGGTCTAGAGCTCTCAACAGCCTCCCGCGCGTAGACAATGTCTGGGGACCTTTCGGGACGAATGTGCTCATTTACGACTACATGTATTTCATAAGCTGTTATCACAAAATTACACGAAAAGTTGCATGCTTCTACATCGCCCTATTCTAATGTAAACCAATCATATACGCGTTTCCTACACCCTAAACCCGAATTAACTTCCATATGGCAGCTGTGGGATTCAAAGCTGGGGCCATCGGTGGAGCTCCCGATGGGGTCACGATCCTCGTGAGGGGTGTGCAGACATCAGCGGGGGGACGCATGCAAACCCTGCCGCTGGGGCCTTTGGCGACACTACCTTTGGGGCCACGATGCTCGGGAGGGATGTGCCGAAATGGGCGGGGGGGCGCATGCAAACCCTGCCGCTGGGGCCTTCGGTGGAGCTCCCCACGGGGCCACGATCCTCGTGAGGAGTGTGCGGAAATGAAGGGGACGCATGCAAACCCTGCCGCTGGGGCCTTCGGTGGAGCTCCCTATGGGGCCACGATCCTCGTCAGGGGTGTGCCGAAATGGGCGGGGGGGCGCATGCTAACCCTGCCACTGGGGCCTTCGGTGGAGCTCCCTATGGGGCCACGATCCTCGTGAGGGGTGCCGAAATGGGCGGGGGGACGCATGCAAAACCTGCAGCTGGGGCCATCGGTGGAGCTCCCTATGGGGCCACGATCCTCGTGAGGGGTGTGCCGAAATGGGCGGGGGGGCGCATGCAAACCCTGCCGCTGGGGCCTTCGGTGGAGCTCCCCACGGGGCCACGATCCTCGTGAGGGGTGTGCCGAAATGGGCGGGGGGACGCATGCAAAACCTGCAGCTGGGGCCATCGGTGGAGCTCCCTATGGGGCCACGATCCTCGTGAGGGGTTTGCCGAAATGGGCGGGGGCGCGCATGCAAACCCTGCCGCTGGGGCCTTCGGTGCTTCCTATGGGGCCACAATCCTTGTGAGGGGTGTGCCGAAATGGGCGGGGGGGCGCATGCAAACCCTGCCGCTGGGGCCGTCGGTGAAGCTCCCTATGGGGCCACGATTCTCGTGATGTGTGCCAAAATGGGCGGGCGACGCATGCTAACCCTGCCGCTGGGGCCTTCGGTGGAGCTCCCCACGGGGCCACGATCCTCGTGAGGGGTGTGCCGAAATGGGCGGGGGGGCGCATGCTAACCCTGCCGCTGGGGCCTTCGGTGGAGCTCCCTATGGGGCCACGATCCTCGTGAAGGGTGTGCCGAAATGGGCGGGGGGGCCCATGCTAACCCTGCCGCTGGGGCCTTCGGTGGAGTTCCCTGTGGGGACGCGGTCCTCGTGAGGGGTGTGCCGAAATGGGCGGGGGGGCGCTGTCTCTTCAAAACGAGGACCCAACACGACAGGATGGTCGCGAAAAACATGCAGTTCTAGCGCGGGCCTGGCCCGGTGATGAGCCACCTCCCGATCAGGAGTCCGACGCCGCGGCTGCTGACGGCTCCGCGCCATCATCGGGCCGAACCGGCACGCGCTGAAGCGCAGGCTCCCGCGGCCCGGCGGAGGCGACGGCGCCGAGGCCAGCGGCCTTGGCGCCCGTGGCGCCTGCCGCCCCTGCCGCTGCGGCCTTTGCGCCGCCGGCGGCTGCTGCACCCGCGGCCGCCTTCGCGGCGCCGGCTGCCGCCGCGGTCTTCGCCGCCGCCGTGGCGGCGGCCGCCGCCACAGCCGCCGAAACTGGCTCCGCGCGGAGAGCGACCTTCGGGCGACGAGGTCTGCGCAGAGCCACCGCCCCTGGCCAGGCCCGTCCTGAGCCTGGGAGCGGTGTGTACGCCCTCCTGGCTTGGCCAGGGAGGCACGTACTCCGCTCAGCTCCTGGGCCCAGGATGGGCCTGACCACGAGCCCCTCGGAGGGAGGGCGAGAGCCGCTTCGAGGAGGGCGGGCGTCGTCGTCGCCGTCGTCGTCGTCGTCGGCGGCGGCGGCGGCGGCGGGGACGTCGTCGTCGTCGTCGTCGGCGGTGGCGGCGGCGGCGTCGGCGGTGGCGGCGGCGTCGTCGTCGTCGGCGTCGTCGTCTCCCGAGACCTTGGAGAAGTCGGCCCTCCCAGGGAGCCCGGCGAACGCCTGGTGGAGGGTGGCGCACATGATAAGCACGACCACGGCGCAGGGCAGCGCCACCGATCGCCCGCGGGCCATGTCCCTGGCCTTCTGGCCGCAGACTGGAGTGGGAGCGAAAGTTGGAGGGAGCTGGCTCGGGGAGGGAGAGTCGGGCTGGACATCGCCGATGGCCCCCCGAAAGCAGGACGGCACGCTCCTGGGCAGGGCCAGCCAAGCCCCGATCGACGATGAACGGGCGATCGGGGGTCGATGTCCCCACCCCTCCTCGGGTCAGCCCTCTCCCCCTTGGGTCAGCCCTCCCGACCCTCCCTGATCAGATTCTTCTACCCGCGACCGACAAGATCGGTCGCTACCAATTTTGCTTCGCATGCCGGTATCGGCCGCGACCGACTCGGAGTGCCGATCGGTGGCTACCGATCGCGACCAGCAAACATCGGGCATCCAATGATCTGGGCTGAGCCGGCCCTCCCCCGTGGGGTGCGCCCTCTCCCCAGCCGCCGCCCCCGCAAGGCCACGACGGGGCGCCCCGCCCTGGCAGCCCGAGCTGGAAGCGTGCTCGAGCAAGGAGGGCTGCCGAACGCAAGCGCCGCTCGCGGACGAGGCTGCCATGGACCAGGTCGGGGGTCTGCTGAAGCGGGTCAGCCCAAGCCCGGGTCAACCAGGGCTCCCAGGATCCTGCAGGGTCCTGCAGGGTCCTGCGTCCTGCAGGATCCTGCAAGATCCTGCAGGATCCTGCACCCAAGCCCAGGTCAGTGGTCCCCCTGGCTCTGCAGGATCCTGCAAGATCCAGCGTTCTGACTGATCCCTGTTTGCATTGACCCCCGTCTCTGAAGCACAGACCAGAGGGGGAGGAGGAGGAGGAGGAGGAGGAGGAGGAGGAGGAGGAGGAGGAGGACGAGGAGGAGGAGGAAGTGGAGGAGTCCCGAGGAGCCCCGGGGCTGCCCTGAGAGCCGTGCAGCCCTCCGTGGAGCCTGCGGTCGGGAACTTCTGCGCAGCGTGTCGCGGCGGCGGCCCTGGCGGCGCGCTTTGCCATGAAAAGCAGATGCTCCGCGCGTGGCTCCGCTCAACGGGGCGGGAGGCTCGGAAAAGCTCGGGACAGTGGCGCTTGGAAGTGGGGACGTGGACAGCGTGTCGCGCCGAAGCGCGGTAGGCCAGAACCAGCGGAGCGACACGCTGTCCAACAGTTCCCGACCGTGAGGCCGAGGACCCCCTTCCCTTCAGGACCCTCTCCCAAGTATGGCGAACGAACAACACACACCCATACCCATAGGGGGGGAAGGGGGGGATGGCTATGGGTGCGTGTTGTCGGATGGGGGTCCCCGCTCGAAGGGGAGCCCCCCTTGGGGTCCGACAACCCGCACCCATACCCCTAGCCAGACCTCTTCCCTCTGACCCCACTATCGGAGGTTGGGGGGTGAGATCGCAGTGAAACGGAGACCCCCCAACGGGAAATCGGTTTCGGTTTCGTGTTCGTGTCGTGCGCGCGGGCGAGGCGAAGCTGCGCGTGATCCTCCTGTAGCTAGGCCGAAGTATACGAGCGAAAGTCTGTTCCCGTCCGCCGGTGGCTGGGAGGTGGGCCAGGCGGTGTCCCGGGTGTCAGCAGGAGCGTAAGTCCTTTCCTGTCCGCCGGTGGCCGGGAGGTGTCCCAGCTGGGCCTGGCGGTGTCCCGGGTGTCCCGGGTGTCCCGGGCGTCCCGGCGCTAACGCATGTCGCTAATTTCATAATTCACTCATTCGGCGCCTGCGGCGGGCTTTCTTATCCAATCCGGCTTATCTTATCCAAGCCATCTTGTCCAATCCAATCCATCTTATCTAATCAAACCCATATTGCCCCATCTTATCTTATCCCACCCAATCCAATCCACCCAACCCAATCCATCAATTCGTTTGTTTCTGCGCCTGCGGCGGGCCAATCCAATCCATCTTATCTTGTCCAATACATTTCTTCCAACCCAACCCATCTTATCTTACCCAATCCATCTTATCCCATCCAATCCAATCCACCCAACCCAATCCATCAATTCATTGTTGTCGGCACCTGCGGCGGGCTTTCTTATCCAACACAGCTTATCTTATCAAACCCATCTTGTCAAATCCAATACATCTGATCTGATCAAAACCATATTGTCCCATCATATCTTATCCCACCCAATCCAATCCACCCAACCCAATCCATCAATTCGTTTGTTTCTGCGCCTGCGGCGGGCCAATCCAATCCATCTTATCTTGTCCAATACATTTCTTCCAACCCAACCCATCTTATCTTACCCAATCCATCTTATCCCATCCAATCCAATCCACCCAATCCAATCCATCAATTCATTGTTGTCGGCACCTGCGGCGGGCTTTCTTATCCAACACAGCTTATCTTATCAAACCCATCTTGTCAAATCCAATACATCTTATCTGATCAAACCATATTGCCCCATCTTATCTTATCCCACCCAATCCAATCCACCCAACCCAATCCATCAATTCGTTTGTTTCTGCGCCTGCGGCGGGCCAATCCAATCCATCTTATCTTGTCCAATACATATCGTCCATTCCAACCCATCCTATCTTATCCAATCCGTCTTAGAGAGGGAGAGAGAGAGAGAGGGCGAGAGAGAGAGAGAGACAGAGAGAGAGAGAGACAGAGAGAAAGAGAGAGATGAGATCAAGGTGACAGGCCGGAGGTCAGTCAAGGTGGGCATTTCATCTCAATCCCCCCAAACCTCCTTATCGCCGGTAGGGCGGTCGTATAGGTAGGAATGGATGCGTGTCGTCCGTTCGTCAAAACATCCGACGTCGTGATTTGACCCACACGGGGCCCGTCGACTCTTCGGACCGTCGTGGCGACATCTTGAGACCGTCTTGGGCCGTCGAAAGGCCCTCTCTGGGGCCGTACCCGCAGCGGGCCAGACAGGGAGCGTGCAGAGTGCGCACGGGTCCAGACGGGGGAGAGGGAAGAGGATGTGAAGCAGCAGGGCTGTTTTCACGTCGACGTTGCGGCTGGCTCTGTGAAGTCGGCGCAGAGACTCGATGCAACGAAAACAGCGGCACGGAAGCCAGGATCACCCCAAGACGAAGCCAGGACAGGGACAAAATCGGCAGGGACAGATTCGGGACCTCAGAGTGCCAGCGGCTCTGGAAGATGTATCGGGACCTGCTGCCTGATCAGCACGGTCCAGAACGCTCTGACAGCGTTCCAGGACGAGCTGGATCGATCTGTCCCTGTCCCAGCCCCACGTGGCACCCCCGCCCATCCGCGGCGGCGGCCCACGGCGGCGTCGACGGCATCGGCCCAGCGATTCGACGGTGAAGGCCCGGCCAGCGAGCCGAGCACGCCAGGCCAGGCCGAGGATGCTCCGCGCAGGGCGAGACGAGACGACGGCGGCGCCAGACGGGTCCCCGGACCCCTCCCGGGGTCCCAACTCGGGGATGGACAGAACCCCCTGTCGCTAAACGCAGTCGCATGAAAGAACGACCTCGGGCCCAAACCTGACGGGCGCAGGCCTGGAGAAGGACGGCCGCGGCGCCCTATCGGGGACCGAAGACGGACAGTGCACCAATCGACGTGGGCCGTGGTGGGGGCTCTGCCCACCCCCGACCAGCGCACAGGTCTGCCGCGCTGCGCCCAGCCGCAGCGACGAGGAGGCCGCCCGACGGCCAGCTCCCAGCGCCTCGGCTCGCCCTGCCCCGAGAGGCGGACAGCGCGGCCCACCGCGCGGCCGTGCTGTCCGCGCCAGCGCGGGCCTACTGCGGCAAGGGCAGGTGCAGCTGTCCGGCGCTCGCTGCGCAAGGGGAGGCCGAGGAGGAGGGCAGCAGCGGCCGCTCGTGGAGGAGCAGGTGGCGGGGAGGGCGCAGAGCGAACAGGCAAAAGCCCATCGTCCATGCAGGAAGGGCAGGCGCGCCTGTGGCACGCAGGCCCTCTGCGCAGGCTGGTGGATGCGGGATCGGGCCGGCCAGTGCCGAGCGTGCTGCATCCCAAATGCTGTTCGCTCTTCCTGGGGAGGGCAGAGATCGCAGAGGGAAGGGTAACTGAAGGGAGAGGGATGGGCGCAGAGTACAACAGGGCATTCTGATCAGCGGTGCCAGCAGTGCCTAATCAGCGGCGCTAGCGGATTGAGACGACATCGTATCACACGAGCGAAACGAGTCGAGGCAAAGGGTGCCATTAAAACGTACGGTGGCTGGTGCTGTTCCAAGCGGTGCACCAAGTGCCCCTCCGTGCCGCGACATCATTGGCGGGCGTGGCAAGGCAGTGGATGTTCGTCTTTCGCTTGGTGACAGACCCTGCGAGCTGTGTTTCCACGCAGGAGAGGCCAAGTGGCCACATTCGGGCAACGACGACGCATTGGCTGCCCAATTCACGACGCTCCTCCGTTGCGACCCTGGCGCGGGCCCAGTTGCGGGGCACTAAAAAACATGACTCAGCACAACAAAACTGCTCTGAATGAGTAGCTCTGACGCATAATACACAGTTACTCGAACCGGGGTCGCCCTCGGCGAACCCTCTTTCAGGCCCGCAGTCGAGGCTGCCTCCGAGCGGGGTCACGCAACATCCTACTGCACGCTCGCTGCACTGACGGGCCAGGCAGCGCCTGAGGCACGCCAGGAGAAGGACTGAACGATCAGATTCCAGATGCCGAAGTTGGAATTGGCTTCACCCTTTCACTCCGCGACGTAGCCACCTCGCCGCGTAAGATATCCGCCACCGTGCCTCGAGGCACGAGAGGGAGTGAGTGCCCGCGGGGCCTCGGGATCCTCCGTGCTGAACACTGGAAACAATTGTGTAGGAGCCAGACCGAGAGAGCCCAAAGAGGCCCCGAAGATGATCCATGAAGACCCCGAGACGGCACAAAAGCACTCCAAGACACATAAGATGGGCCCAAGAAGCCCTCAAGAAGTCTCAAGAGGGCTCGAAGAAGACCCTTGCGAGCGCGCCGAGGGGCAAAAATCAAAAGTGCCCCTTGGGTTTGACACAGATGTTTGCATTCTCGCCTTTTCGGACTTCCGACGCGGAAGAGGACCCCAAGAAGGCTCAAGGGGTGCCCAAGAGGCCCCCAAGACGACCCCAAGAGGGGTCCAACAAGGGGGACACGGACAAACATTTCGATCCCTCCGCCCCTAGTGTATCCCCGAGACCGCCAACAAGCGCACAAGAGGCTCCCGAGAGGTCCGAAGAGGCCGCCAAGAGGCCCAAAAGAGGCTCCAAGAGGTCCCGCAGAGTCCCTATGGCGGGAGGCGCTTGCGCATTGGAACTACTCTTACGAAGTGGCGTCCTTCAAGTCCCCATGCCGCTGGCCGCACAGGTGGAACCCAAAGGTCGCGCGCACCAGAAGAGGCCCAAACACGGGCACCCGCGCAACGCGCCCCGGCCCAGCAGCGGACAGCATGATAATCAAAGGGCCAACGGACACAGCTGTTAAGTAGTTGGTGGCGCAGAAATTATTGGTCAGCCCGTATTCGACAATCCCCATGGCCATTGGCGGGACGAGAAACGTGAGTGCTCCTGTCGCGAAGGCTACGCGATCATGTGGCGAGCGCGCCAAGATGATTGTCCAGCATAGGCCTTGCAAGAGTATGAACCATATCTCCCAAGAAGTATGGCCGCCGCACCACCCACCTTCGATTTGTTGAGCTGTCATTGCCAAATATATCAACCCGATTGATGTGGGGCCCACGCCCCAAATGCTCACGTCGCCCAGAGGCCCGGCTAATTCTTCGGCTTGGCGCAGATGTGCCGACACCATGCCCATGCGTATTATGTCTGCCACGTTCTTGTCAACCAGACGCAAATAGCCAGTACTGCTCGCACCGTCCCCAACATAGCTCGATGCGAGCTCGTTCCGGATGCGTTCCCCATCTGCACGGACCGAACACCTGGCGTCTCGGAGGTGGCCCGTAAAACCGTTCTGCAATTGCCAAGCTGTGACGGCCGCTCCTGATGCCCACAGCCTGTCGGCCTCGAGCGCGGTCGGAAACTGGGTCACCGCAACGAAGAACAACCAAGATGTCAGATGGTGGGGGCGATTCACGACGTTAGCTGCGCCCACGGCACCAGCGGCGAATCCAAGCATTCGGAGGACAATGCGAAGAGAGAGCGAGTCGGCGGAGCGCTTCCGAAGGACCACGTATGCAAACGCCAGAGAACCAACCACTGCTTGGGGCACCAACACAAACACATCTGCAGGATATGCCGCCGTCAAAACTCTGAAATGAGCGAAGATGGTGCACATTGCGCCTGCCCCTGATAGAGATAGGAAGACCATCCTCACAATGCGGGGCCAGAAGCCTGGCACTTCGGACCGGGCAGTGCTAATGTGTTTGCGCCACGTGTATGCCAGGAAGGCCTCGTAAGCACACCAGATCCTCGAATATATGCTGTTGACCCGATTCGGGACCGCCAACATGTGCGTCGCGGACGCCAAGGCTTTGGCAAAGGGGGACTCCATGGGGGTAGAGATAAGAGCAGATATGTCCAGGTTCTGTGGGTTGGACAGCACGCATACATACGCGTGTTTGAGCCCCATAGGCCAAGACCGCAATACTTTGTCACACAACTCGAACACACCCTCTTCCCACCCATGTGTGACAAAAAGCTGGCATGGTAGACCCTCAGGATGGCGCATCAAAGCCCAACTTGCTTTCCCCGCTGCAAGCGTAACGGGCTTTATGTACTGTTCGTTGACAGTGTAGACGGACGGACCGATCCTGTCGTCGCTTGCGTCGAAGGGGTCATACTCTGTGGGTACGATCCGATGCTCTTGAACTGCACGCCAAACGAGTCGCCTAAGCTGCTTCAGATCCGCCTTGGTCACGCACCACCGCTCCATTGGCACTTCGCGGTGCAAGCTGGCGCCGTCTCGCACTACGGACGCTGATTCAACAGCACGGTCGTCTGGGCTGAGCCATACAGTTCTTGATCTCCGACCAGCAACAGCCCACAGTGTGGTCAGTAAGACCCCGCCAGTGCCAAGGGCAAGGCCCGAGAGACCAATGATTGCAAGGAGGTGCAAATTCTCCCGAGAGAAGGGTCCACACTCGAAGCCGACCTGGGCAAGGCAACAAGTAAATTTACAACTGTACCCGAAGCTGTCCGTAACGCATTTGATGTCCTGGGCACCGTAACCGTCCTCACAAAAACAAGCTTCGAAAGGACTCGAAATCGAGCAATCTCGGAGACGGTCTCGGCACGAATCTGGCCGGCCTTCCAGGCACATCCTCTCGTCTCCCAGGTGACGCCGTAGTGGCGGCGCTGCATGAGTTGACGCATCGGGGCCCGCACCTTTAGAGGCCTCCTGGATGGGGTCCGAGTGGGTGGGGTCGGAGGGTCGCGCCGCATCGCCAATGCATGGACGATGTATCGGCGACGTCGGCGTGGAGAAAGTCCGGATCCACATCCAGCCGCATCGCAGATTAAGGACGGGTGGTAGGGACGCAAGACTCTTGGAAGCGGGAAAATTGGAAACCATAAAATAGTTCGGGAGGCGGGCGACCCGTGATAAAGGCAAAGGACGGGCCGCAGAGACAAGGACACGAGGGCACCCTGGAGGAAGGCGCGCGTCCTCACTAGGCTTATATCGGGCATGTCCTCCGGCAGGCGGATTGTGGAAGAAAGGTAAAACCAGTCAAAACAATACGCAAGAATTTTCAAAACTAGACAAACATCGTCCCCAGACTACGTCTGGACTATTCTTACATGTTCCACCTGTAGAGGGACAGGCTCGACTTGATACCAGGCGCGCTGATTGCACTCGGATCCCATGACGGGAGGCCTCGAACTCCTCTCCCCTTCCAGGAGGTGACCCCGAGGGGCACTTCCACCTTCTACTCCTCCTCCTCTTCCTCCTCATCCTCCTCCACCTCCTCCACCTCCTCCACCTCCTCCACCTCCTCCTCCTCCTCCCTCCTCCCCTTCCTCCTCCTCATCCTCCTCCTCTCCTCCTCCTCCTCCTCCTCCTCCTCCTCCTCCTCCTCCTCCTCCTCCTCCTCCTCCTCCCCCCCCTCCTCCTCCTGCTGCTGCTCCTCCTCCTCCTCCTCCTCCTCCTCCTCCTCCTTCTCCTCCCTCCTTTCCTCTTCCTCCTCCTCCTCCTCCTCCTCCTCCTCCTCCTCCCTCCTCCTCCTCCTCCCCCTTCCTCCCCCCCCTCCACAATTACACAATATGAATACTACTCTCCTCCATCCCCTGATGGCGTGCGGAAGATAGCGGGCACCCCTCCGCGTACTGTTTTTTTTACACAGGAGTTCCCGGAGTTGGGCTTTCGCTTGGGTTTTTCAAAATGTTGCTCTCGCTGAGGCGCGGGCTTCATTTTCGGGCTTCCGCTCGTTCCGAATCGTGCTCCCGCTGCAGCGCTGGCCTCATTTCCGTGCGTCCGCTCGTTCCGAATCGTGCTCCCGCTGCGGCGCTGGCCTCATTTCCGCGCTTCCGCTCGTTCCGAATCGTGCTCCCGCTGCAGCGCTGGCGTCATTTCCCATGCCATGCCACGGCATGAAATGCAATGCTAGGTTGCGCTCCGCTGCGCGATGCTATGCCTTCAGCTGCAGCTGTCATATCCAGTAAGTGCCACGTCATGCTATGCCATGCTACGCTTTGATATTCAACGACATGCTATGTAATGTTATGTTCGGGGCCGCTGTGCGATGCCATGCTTTGCGTTGCAAAGCTTTGTGATGCAAATCGTCACTACGCCACACCACGCCATGCTGTGACATACTACTCTTTGCGGTGCTCTTCTACGCCATGCCATGCCGTGCTCTACAATGCATCGCGTACCCTTTCGGGATCATTGCCCTGCTCGACATCCGACTGTGCGAGTAGAGAGGGGATCTACGCCATGGTAAGGGATGGGAGGGAGGGGTAGGATGTCAGATATGACGCGAGCGCACCTAGCTTGTCCTCCCCCCCTCCCCCTCCTCCTCCTCCTTCTCCTCCTCCTCCTTCTGCTGCTGCTGCTCCTCCTCCTCCTCCTCCTCCTCCTCCTCCTCCTCCTCCTCCTCCTCCTCCTTCCCTCTCCTCCTCCTCTCCTCCTCCTCCTCCTCCCTCCTCCTCCTCCTCCCACCCCCTCCTCTCCTCATCCTCCTCCTCCTCCTCCTCATCCTT